AGAGAGAGAGAGAGAGAGAGAAACAAATACTGAAGCAAGAAAGAAGTATGATTTTGACATCAACACAGGCTACATTTCATGACTTCCAACACTGGGGATGCCAGAAACGGTGGAGCTCATTGCAACTGAAGTCAAACTGATTCCTTTCCCAATGTAATCCTCAAAAGAGTCCATACAAGTCCAAACAAAGGTTCTGATGTTTCCCCCACTTAAAAGGGTCAAAGATTCTACACAGAGAATCCACAGACATGCTACGTTTACACAGACTGTGTAGTGCAGGGGTCACCAACTCCGGTCCTTGAGAGCTACTATCCAGTACTGTACAGTATGTTTTCTATCATACCTGGCTTCTGATGAGCCACACTAGTTCTCAGATAAATACCAGGGCCAGGTGTGGCTCATCAGAAGCCAAGTGGGACTGAAAACCTACTGGATAGTAGCTCTCCAGGTCCGGAGTTGGTGGCCCCCGGTGTAGTGTCTCAGATCTTCCTCTAAATATTAGGTAAACACACATTTGGCAGAGTTGGCATCTTGGTCACAAAATATTATACATCAGCTGGGAGTTAATGGCTCTACAAGCTGAAGAAATTACAAAATGTTTATATTAAATCAATTTTTCGAGCCTTTGGAAACTACATTTATAGCTTTGGAAAATAAAAAGGCTCCGGAAAATATAGTTGTGAGAATGAAAAATTAAACAGCAATAAATTGAATTTTTTGTGGATTAACATTTCACCAACGGTAGTATTTGCAGAAGTATCTCCTCAATCACACGTGTGATTGATGAGAAGTATCTCATCAATCACACGTGTCACCAATAGTCATTTTCACATTAAGTCATTTTCACATTTCGTTCCAAAGTCACACGGTTAATATATTTCCATAATTTTCCCCAAATACGCAGGATGAAACTTTTTCTATAATAAGACATACAGTAGTTTTGAAAGCCCTGGTCCAACATGTTGATGACATGCATAGTGGCTCACTGATTACTACAATCTGGAAGTGCCGTTATTATAAGGGAAAAAACTGAAGACATCCATAATAGCAATCTTCAAATCTCACAAGATTAGCCATTCTGATCAGTACATGAGCAACTTTACTGATGCATCAAATGAACGAATGAGTCTGATTATTAAAGAGAGAAGAGCAACAACAAAAGGGAAGCAGCTGAAAGTGGTTTACAGTAAATAATATACATGAAAAAGGTCAGATTTATTCTCTATAAAAATACCACCTGAGAGATAATGGACCATGTTAACTCATCTTTGGTTAAATATTCATTACCCAACACTGGAGAACATGGGGAAAAAAATCCCTATAATCCAGTTGGTCTCTATCATTAAAGTTAATCCTCAGGGTTCCAGATTATTTATTAGATCCCTGTTTCAGCTCCAGTGTAGTTTCAAATGATCTCCTGCAAAAACTCTATAATGACCTATTCCAACCCCTGTTGGAAATGGAATTGCAAATTGACTCTGTTTTCCTCTTGAATTTTGCCAGGGCCAACACTGGGAGAAAGAAATGCAGATCCCATGCATGCTGTGCTTTGAATCTGAATTTTGGGTTAAACCACAAAGACCTGTGGGGGGGTTATATTCGATCAAATATTGTAATTTCTATTTAAAATCTGGCACAAAGCACAGGAGAAGCACAATCGAAACCCCTAGTTTTGGCAGAGCATGTGAATGACAGACAATAGAACTGCAAAGTTTAATTTGCATTTTCCATTTGTTTTCAAGTTTTGGCAGGAAAGCATCATTTTTTATAGATTTGTGAAGGATATCAAATGCACAGTGGGCCGTCATTGGTTTCAAAAACGCCTTTTGGAATCTGATTGTACATGGCTCTCTCTCTCCAACTGTGATTAACAGAAACTAAATCTGCATCAATACAATATTTATGCATAGGCTGCAACAAAATTGCTATGACCTTGATTTGAAACTCATACGGACATTATAAACTAATCAAAACTGATGATGAATTGTTAGCAATGAACAGAAAAATATGCACACCAAAAAAGGGTTATTCAATCTTTGAACTAAACAACTAAATATTTAGCAAAATATCTAGTAAAAGATCTCTGTAGTCATCCAGACACGGGCAAGGAGAAAGGATTTGTATCAGATACCATACCAAAGCCAAGGAAGAAAAAAAAAACAACCAAATCAACCATCTCTTATTTCCTAAGACTGTAATACCAAGAATGGCAGATTCCCTAGATATCTCCTACTAAGGTAATGCACACTGGAATTTGTCATGTGTCATTTTAAAACCTCTATGCTAGTAGTAGTGCATACAGAAAAAGTAGCAGTTTCTATATACCTCACCATGAAAAGTCATAGTACTATATATAATGGTAACTAAATACTGTATAAATACTGAACAGTGACTGTCTTTATTCAGCGCTGAAAATATTACATTTAAGGATATTGCTCTTCTCCGAAAAGCACTTAAGTTTTATAGCGTGGCCATATAAAATACGGCTTATGCATTATAAATAAATCTGCGGAACGTGGCTTTTATCGCAGACAACTACTGCAGTGCTTGCTGTGTGTGTTAATATTTTTATTGTTAAACCGCCAGTTCACTGGACAACGACGTTATTAATCCCGAGTGAAATGACGCTGTTGTCTTCTCCGATATAATCTGAATATAAAGTGTGTGCTAATTTTTGAGTTGTGGTTAAACTGTAACTTATTCCCTCCCAAAAAAAAAAAAAAAAAAAAAGCACAATCCCTCCAGCGAATACGTTGTGCATAATACAGTTTATAATATAGTGTATAACAGCAATCCTTATAAGGCATAATTCTGTATATTCTGTCAGCACAACAGGACAACAATAAACGATTACACTTTATTTCATTATAATGATGCTTCCTTGCTTTGCTGTGCTTCTTTTCCACCTGAATAAATAGATGCAGGTTTACTTACATACACCATTGCTTTGGCTACCTGAGATAGCCTGCTTATTTACCATTACCCCAAGAACAGCACCTCTGGGACTGTTAACAGCTACCGGCATTTTTTTTTTTTTAATGAATACCGTCCAAGCAGCTCTGTCTACCTGCCAGATAATAAGAGTAATCACGCATAGGGGCAATCTTTCATTGCACAGATTTAAATGGTATTCTAGTGAATTAAATAGGTGGTATTATGGCAGGAAAGTGGTTTTCTATGTAAGAAATGGAACAGAATTTGCTAGCGGTTTGGCTAGTAAATCTTAAGGACTGGGTGCTAACAAGCAATGAGAACAGAATGCGTGTATTCACAGATCCTCTTATCTATATAAAGTGCTGTAAAGAACGGTCCGAGTGCTTCCGAGAGAAGCACGAGGGGCGTCCTGCACATCTGCTCAATCCCGCTCGGTACACATTCATGTCCACATTCCAGGATAGGATCCATTCTTCCGTCAGCTGACTTGCTGAAGCTGACTCTCCTGCCGAAACGGCTCCGCGGGAGGCGTGGAAAGTCGCGTAACTTAATGTTTCACGCTCCGAGAAATAGTAAATATCAGACGCGACGGTCCATGATAGTCGAGGGCACATTTTTCGATGTCAGGGTTGCTGATGCAGCTCCTGTGAGTTTAGTTTTTGTACCTTTGGAGATAGACGCTCAACTTAAAATATCAATGATGAGTCTGGATGAAAGTATCAGGCACAAAGGCATCATCCAATCAGCACATTCAGGACCGGGACGCTTCCTAACCTGTACTCTGCCGCCAGGGTCTTTCTTGATCCACTTGATGACAGTCTCGTAGACCAGCTCCTCGGCCTTGGTGTTGAGACTGTCGTTGGACATGTAGCTGACGAAGTCCTCCTTGGAGATGTTGAGGATCTCCTCCTGGCAGGCCACCTCCGGGAAGTTCTGCAGGGCGAAGGCTTTGGCCATGTTGTGCAGTTCGTTGCACTGCATCGCCTCGGCCATGGCCAGCACCCCCAGGCAGTTAGCGGCTGTCAGCTGTTTTTCTGTGGGGGTGTGGGGGGGAAGGGGAGAGAAACGGCCAAAAAAGTAAATATATCAGACTCTGTTCTGACGTTGGGCTTGGTTCCTAATCGAGGAAACATCAGAGGCCAGGAAATGTTGGTGTGTGTGTGTGTGTATATACCCATGCATTTTCTGCATGTGTGTGTGTGTGTAGCGGTTTATATTTATCGAAGCGCAGAGCCATGACGCGGAGTGAGTAATAACTCAAGCAGCTGGAGGCAAAGGACAAACAAGAAGGGGAATCGATTGGACACAGGAAACAGGCTGTTCAGAGGGTCCCTCAGATTAGCCGAAGCAAGTAAAGACCATTTTCCGAGCCCTAAAAAAGGTCAGCGGCAGAACATCTGAGATAGCTACCCCTGGAGTGCTCCCGCTGGGTGTGCGGGCTTTCCCACAACGAATTAAGAAAATTCGGCCAGATACGGGCGCAGGAAACACACACGCGCATCTGCATCCCAAGCATTTCGGCAACGAGGTCGTCATGTGGATGTGTGGAAATTGGAAAAATGACGGACAGTGCTGGGAAAATTTGCCTTTGAATTCTGAGTGCTACTTTTTTTTGTTGGAAGGAAAGAAACATCCGTGAAAATATGTACAGGAGACCCCGCAGAGAAAGACCAGGGAACGACCACTGGAAGAGTCCAAGTGTCACTGCCTGGCTGTGAAGTCACCAAACATACCTGCCAACCGACCAGGGCTGAGTTTCCCGAATCCTTCTCAATGCTACGTTCTTCGTTTTAACACAGAACTTACGAACGATGTCGCGTTAAGAAGGCTTCAGGAAACTCACCCTAGACCTTTTTAGGCCAAAATGCCCAAAGACACACACATTTTAATTAATTTCAATTAAGTACAGGAGAGAAAAAAAAGATAAAATTAAGTTTTCTAAACTGCTACAGTACAATTACCTAATCCAGCTGTAGAACTGGAAAAAAAATGTGTGTGTGAGTATGCATGCAGGCAGGCAGACAGACAGACATTTGTCAACATTTAAATGGGTTGACCTATGGTTCACCTGAAGCTACATAGAGGTTTGCTTCACAGTGCAAAGCTGGTTTGCATCACTGGAGACTGAAGTAGCCGACGTGTGTTGCAGGGCATCATCTCAGTAAACTGGGATTTTCAAAACAGGGCTGAAGGCCGAACGCACTGATTACAAATTTAAGACTGCAGACGGGGGGGCTGGGGATTATCCGTGTCTGTGTTTTGGATCTGGCGGCTGTACGTCTGGTGGCTATGATGTCACCTTTCATTACTGGTTTGAGGGAAACAGACATTCAGCATCTATTTCATAATTTATAGCCTAGTCCAGTTACGCCAAAGCAGAGTAACATTATGGGTCACAGTTCAATGGCTGCTTAACACAAAAAAGACAGAGATAAGAAAAATTCTAACAATATATCAGGGTTCACTTGAGTCATCTTTCGGGCAATACATTTATTTTAATTATTACACTAACAGTAATCTGAATGTCTGCATTTATGTGATAATTTTTTCTGATGTACTTCCTTGAAATTACTTTTTCTTGTCATTTCAAACTTTGCTAGTGTTTTTTGGATTTTTCACACACATTTAGCAAAACAAAAGACATTGAAGCTGACAAAAAAAGCAGACAAAAGGCACAGTCTAAAAATCATCACTACTGAAGGAAACCAAACATCAAGCAGAGCTGTTACAAAGAGCTTTCTGTAAAGCACTGTTGTAAATGTTTCTCTGGCAGTTGCATGGCTAAAACAATGGTGCTGTTTTTGGTTTATGCACTCTCATTTTCCCCTATTTTATTCTGAATGCTTTTATTGTGCTGTAGTTTGAAGCCAGCAAATAATTATTTGGGTGTTTTGGTCTTATTTTTATTAGTTTGAGTAGTAACATCTAATGCAAGTATGGTTCTAGAGTCACCTAGAGTAGGTCTGAAAAATATTTCATTGTCCCTCAAAACTGTTTACAAAGAAAAAAAATGCTGTAACAAAGTGACTTTCAGCCTGTGTGGTTTTTCTCCCTGTCCTCCAGGTTGAGAGCATATCAATGGATGAGAGCAACAAACAAATAAATAGACAAACAGAAATCTGTCACAGTGTCACAGTGTTCGAGAGTCGGCTGGAACTCACCTAAGAAGGACACACAAACTTTGCAAAAGGTATTGAACTGGAACTTGTTGGCTGCCTCCAGAAGGGTTTTTGCATTGGCGGAGTCGATGATAAGGGACCCCGTATAGACAAATTCCAGCAGCAGTTCCAGGACGTCCGCTCTGATGTTGCTCATCGACAGCTCAAGCTTCTCCCCCTTCCCGCTCTCCCCTGATGACCTAGTGACAGCGGAAAGACCGTTAAATAGACCCCCGGACACCTGGGCCTCTCACTGTGGTGACACACACTAAGGCGGCTTAAAAGCATTATAATAATTTCTTTTTTAAAAAACACAGCTACAACCGATGTACAGCTTACACATAACCAATTGTTTCTCTTAGGTACACTATAGACAAAAGGGCATCTGAAAGAAACGCGATGGAAATCCACCTGGCTTGCTTTCAAATCGATATACAGAGTTCGGAGGAAATGGCTGCACGCTCACACAAAACTGCAGATTACGGTCTGATATTGTACATTAATAAATTGGCAGCCACCCAGCAGCTCTGCACTTGGCATTTGAGTTACGGATTCGCCTCACCTTTATAAGACATGCCGCTTGGCATTTGCCTTGCTTAGAGTCTGCGTGTGTGTGTGTGTGTGTGTGTGTGTGTGTGTGTGTGTGAAAATATTTGCACCACGAAATTACTGAGCTGGCCAAACAACGATAAATGTACAAAACACATAAATAAAATGGAAATGGGGTGAGCAGAGCAGACAGTACCATTTGTGTGCCGGCGTGGGGGTAATATCGGTACTGAAGAGCAGTATCTGTGATTCCCCTAAAGCAGCTGCCTATTTTAACGCAATACACAACTCTAGGTGCAGCGCTGTCACGCACCACCTCCTCCTAATTTAACCCCGCTAATTCCTACAGACGAAACTCAGTTTTAGAATAGCTACACTTTGTTGATTGTTATGTGTCAGAATGCGGTCACGTTTGTTGGTGACGGCTACCATTTAAAATTTACAGGTTAATTAACTGGATAATTATCTATGTCCGGGAGATTATTTTGGGGGACTGACAGGCAGTAACCAAACAAGCCCTGTGTGACGGCTCCTACTATTATTTAATCAAACTGCTGTGGCCATTGCTGTGTCACCTGCAGCCTACTCCATTTGCACATAATTCATTCTGGAAGATTTGCACATGTATACACTGGAGACAGGCAGGGCAGACAGATGAGATGCCAATGGGGGAGGAGGGGGGACAATAGAGGGGAGGGTAGGAAGCAAAGGATGATGGGAAGAGAACGAGTTCTGCCACAGGTAGCCAGCAGCCATCCTTCTGGTGGGTTCCATGACTGGGACCTGGGTGCTTTCAACAAGAGAAGGCCTAAATAAAGCATCTGTCCGTGCTGCCAAAAAATAATAATGACAGTAATAAAAATATCACCATTGCCTGCATACGAACTGAAATATTAGTCAATATGCAGAGTTGACTAGTGAAAGGCAAAAAAAAAAAAATGTACACGGAGGTGGCAATCTCGAAGCGGCTGGAAAGTGAAGAGTATTACTCCTGGAAAGTAAAAACTGGGATTTATCCGTCCGTCTTCCAAGCGCTTATCCTGGCCAGGGTTGTGGTGGGGGGGGGGGGGGGGGGGGGGGAGGGGGGCGGCACCAAGGGCCACAAGGCTGGGGTACAACCCTGGAGACTGGATCTATCACTGTAAATAATAATCGCCTGAGTAACAGTATCAAGAAGCACACGCAAACGTAAGCCGAGATTAACTGGCGTGGGAGGCGGGTAGGGGGAAGAAAAATAATAAGGTGCAGGCAGCATCATTACCACATTGTCAAGTAGCGGAATTAGAACGGGATCCAGGTGAAATCTTTATCAAGACTGCTTGATGCATTTTTTTTGCACTATTGCATCTGATATTACGGATAACTGACCATAAAGCAAAGAAACATGCAGACAACACCAAAAAAAAAAAGAACAACTCGTAAAAAGAACAGATTTTTCAGTAATTTCTCTAAATGATCCATCGCCATTATAAAAACAAATATAGAAATGCATGCATGTTGGTCTAAAACCAACACATACTTCTGCTAGAATGTTTTAACATTTTTAATACCAACCTTACTCAAGTTATTTCAATAAATGTAACATTTTTAAAAGTATATGTATTAGCTGCTATCAGTGTGAACTACCGTTTCAGAAGAACCAAACACACACACACACACATATATACATGTGTGTATGTGTGTATGTACAGATCTGTCTGTTTTGTGTTTGCGCATATACTGTATATGAAACCAGTTATCATTGGACTGCATCTTTCTTGAAAAGCTCTCTGTAGAACGCCCCCCCCCCCCCCCACAATGTAAAGGCTACGGGGGTAACATTTTACTGTTTTATTCCATCATGGTGGATAATTTCAAAAGCCCTTTGGTTCTAAAATGGATATTTTCCACAAAATTAAATGCCAGCCTATAGTAACACAACAGCTGAAAGCTCAAGAAGTTTTATATTACACGGCAAATGTTATACAGAGGAATGAGACCCCCATATATTGGACCTGTGGTAGAGCATACTTATTGGAGTTCCAGAGGGGGAAAAATGAAATTACTGAGGCCAATCTATCTTTTGAGTCTATGCATTAAATGCTAAAAGGGAAGGTAATAGCTTTTCTGGGGGCACGGTGCGCATGCCCAACTCGCATGAGGCGTTTCTGGGAATATACTGAGTGGGCTTCTCGAGTATTATTAAAATGTCGGAAAGTTTCTCTTATTATTATTATTATTATTATTATTATTATTATTATAAATTCCGAATGAAGGGGGATTGGGAATGCTGAAATCTGAAAACAAGACAGGCTTCCAGATTAAGTTTTTTATATATCTGTTCCAAAAATGCATGTCTTTGGAACATGCATTGGATATCGGTGCATAAAAATTTGTCAGCCACATTTAGATTTGTCAGCCACATTTATTTATCATCTAAGTGATAAATAAAATAAAATAACAAAATGAACAGATGATGACCCAAGAACAAAATGGAAAGAAAGGCCATTCCCACAAGGTCAGCGTCTCCTACTCCTCTGCAGTCAAAGAGCAACGAGTACTGCAGCAAGAAATGGGTTTATCTGGGCTAAACAAGATTCCTTCGATAGGTGGCAACTTCAGAGTAAACAGCTTTGGGGAGATCAAATGCGATGGGGGCACCGACTACGACTCAGGAAATGCACTTCTTTCATAATGCCTACGGCCTCTGCATTTACAAAGGAACAAGCCCAGAAGCATGTGATATCCATCATTATGAGAGTCCCATCCAATACATAAACACTGAACATTAATTTTTAAATGCTATTATATTTTGGTCCTTTAACTATATTAAATATACTCTTCATAATATCATGCACTGACAGATTTGTGTACAACTATAAAATAAACTCATTTATATATGAATATTTATAGCACATCCTTAAAATAGATGTTTACGGTAAATTCATAAATTCGTAATAGTTCAGATAATAATAGTTGCTTATTAAATGTAAGATCTTCTTATAGGTTTGGGGGTGGGGGGGGTATATTATAAACCTTCCAGATGGTTCTCCAGCAAAAGGCACCAGGTACCTGCTAATATGATTTAACGGGCAGTAACCCGCAATTGAATTAAGAGACACGCAAAAGGTTACACACCCATGCCCCTCCTCCCCAATAAGGAACATGGAAAGGCATTAAGAAATAACTCCTAGGCACATCCTGAAATCATTGTGTGTCCCGTCCTTCACTGAACAAAAGGAGGCAACAGGCATCCGTTCAGATTCCCGGCACAATGACTCAGGGGTGGCTGGGAGGTCAAAGAACTGTCAGCACCGGGGCAAGAACCAGAAAAATAAGACGCAGTATTCATCTTCATAAATGCTGAGTTACTCCGGCTAGTGACTTGCACATACCTTACACAAGCTTTGCAGGGTGATAATGCACAAATAACAAAAGACATGCGTTTCTCTACCCCTGTAAAAAAAAAAGATCATGCACATATTTTCCAGGAGGTGGAAGGGTCAAAGCAATCAGTGTGTGTTCTCTACATCTAGAAATGTTTGCAAAAAGAACAGCAACGTTTCATTGGCTGGTAAAGCACAGCAACTAAAGGGTGATCAGGAAGAAAAAAAAAAGTGATACTCCAGATGAATACCTATAATTAAAGGTAAAGAACAAACCCTGGCCAATCAGAAAACTGAAATACCCCTTAAAGGGGCAGGGAGATGGTTAGATGCTGTCTTATCTATATTATATTTGAGATGCATTATTAATATGGCATACATTTCTGCAATCCTCTTGCATCCCTCCACCTTTTTTTTTTAAAGAAATCCCCAGTCATGGAACGTTTTTCTGCCCATTAAAATGGAAATTTGTTCATTTACTCAATGGAGATGAAAGGGTAAGACAAGCATTGACCTTTTATCCCCTCCCCCCCCCACATTGAAATACATTCATTTGAGCAGACAGAAGGAATGGCTACTGGCCCTGTGACAGCAACATCTGCCTTCGCACACCTGCAAAGAGAGGGGAGGGGGGAGGAAGCCATACACATTCACCCTACGAAAAGAACAGATCGGATCAAGAAGCTGGAGGAAGGCAAACCTTTTAACCAGGTCCTTGAAATACAAGCTGCAGGAAGCTAGAACATTTTGGTGGACTTCAAACTCTTTGCCTTCAACAACAATTTTCAGGTCTGTAAACTCTTTCGCTCTGCGCTGCTGGTTCAACTCCTTCAACATCTCTGTAGAACGAAAAAGAAAGAAACGGCCACGTTCCAATTTAGAGACCTCTTTCCGATAAGTCACAGAAAATGCAAAGAAAGCACAAGAGAAAAAAAATGGCTGCACATGTGCACTTGGTAAATAATATTCAATACAATAGAGGGGAGAAACAAACATGCACACAAATAAACTTAAGAAACATATGCAGTCAATATATGCATTCATTTTGATCGTGAAACATGGTACAGTATACAGGGAGGTCAGGCAGTCAAAAGAGCGACAAAATTGATGGGAAAAGCCTAATCGTTACGTGTGCGTCAGTGGTAAAAGACGTCATGTCTTAAAGAGATTCACCTGGCAGGAACAACAGGAATTTACAATAGCATGAAAAAGTTTCACTTCTGTGGAGACAATACATATTTAAGACTACCGACGGCAATAATGTCACGTCAAGCATAAATCTGCAGATAAAACCATTACCCTTGGAAATGCAAATGCTCGAGAGGTTATTGCTGATGAGAAACATCAGCAACGGCCAGAACTCTTCAAGGGCAGTGACGATAGTCAGGTCTGTCACTTTAAAATATTCTTGGCAGGGGTGATTCTCGCTTTTTTTCTTAAGGGGGGGGAATAAGAGGGACATAATTCATACAGAGCGGCCAACCAATAAAACGTTTTGACTCTGAGTGACAGGGAACGGGGCACTCCGGGGGCCAATCAGCTTTCAGCTGAAGCCAGTTCCCCTGTGGTCCCGCCCCTGTATATGCCCCTTCTTGGCCACCAAAAAGCTGGTTTCATAGCAATAGAATTTCAACCAAGAGTGCAAGAAATGTTTTTAAGTGACTTAAATATATAAATGCAAACTTATGTTCTGTCAGCTCTGCCTCACTAATTTCCCTGTGTTGCTGTAAACTCAGCCTTACTTGCTAAGTCAAAATCTTGAGATGATGCGTGATCATCACCTATAAGACACAGAGGAAAAGCTGCGCATAGTGACTTATCAGCAACACATCTCCACTTTTGGCATCTGAAACAGGGAAAACCAGCCATATTTGCAACACTGCCTTGGGCTTTATCTTTATCCCATTGGCCTGCTACATTCAGGGTAGTTCCTAGTTAAATTATACCCAGCTTCAAAGATCAAATGGCAAGCATGATGTTAGGGCATAAAGGTAGACTGAGCTGATTACCGAATCACAGATGGCTCTCGAAAATGGCCCAGATAGCATGTGACGTATTTGAAAACCTCCAATGGGGCTTGTGGGAGTTACTTACACAAAACTGTTCCGAGGGCAGAAAGAAAAATTATTGGTTCAAAGAGATTACCAATCAGATTGTAGAAGGAGGTGGCTCCAAACAACTAGAGGAGGCAGGACCAGCCAATCAGATATTGTCTCTCTCTCTCTCTCTCTCTGAACCAATCATTTTTCTTTCTGCCATCAAATCATTTTTATGTTAAACTAAAATTCCCACAAGCTCCAATGAGACAATGATACAAAGTACAAGAGGGGAAATATTGTGATGATCTCTGTACCCAGTCATAAAAATGATTACACTCTGTCAGATGTCCACAGCTCTGTCACTTGGTGTCCACCCACTGAGCATCGAACGAGGGAATGTGAATAAATAACTGGTACTCAATCATGACTGGGCCTGGCCTATATAATCCAGGCAGACTCCATCTGATTACAGCCTCCTTTGTCAAACTGGATGAAATGGCTATATTTAAACTGCTAAATAAAACAATGAGTGCGACATCAGAATCAATAACCCTAATCAGATAAAGAACACTGCTCCAGAAAAGGCCGAAAATACGACTTGACATAGTTCAACAGCTAAAATGTTTTTGCACTTAGTTACTCTGCCGCAGTTTTCTGTAGACTGGACATAGAATTTTTAAAGCTACCACAACCATTACTCTGGCTTTACTCAAAGTGTGTCTGTATGTGAAATGATCCTTTATTTTCCATCTGCACAAGTACACAGGAATGCTTCTCTTTCCTTTTGGGGGTCACAGTGCAGCGCCCCTGTAGCTGGGGGTAAGACCCTTGTGGAAGGCTACCAGATATGTGAGAATTCTGTGGAGGCAGAGGTTTGAACCAGCAACCTTCTGATCACAGAGGCTTAGTCCATGGAGCCACTCACTGTCCCATGTATGTACATAGGTACGGTACCAGTCAAGAGTTTGGACACGGCAAGTCACCTACAAAGGAGAGTGAAAGTGTTGCATCACATTATCTGAGCAGTTGACCTTAAACACAGTACAAATGGTTTTGGAGGAGTTTGACCAGAAAGTGAAGGATACGTGGCCTATGAGAGCTCAGCATATATGTGGGAGCTCCCGGGAGCATCCCAGGTGGTCACCCCATGACACTGACAGAGGAGAACGCTGGGTCAGCCAGTCCCTGGGGCGGAAGGGGTTAAGGGCCCAATGGTGTGATCACACTTCTGACCCAGGGATTTGAACCAGTAACCTTCTGAGTCCCAACCCACAGAGATGCCCCCCCCCCCAAACAAATTATAAATTTTTTTGTTCAATATCTTTTTGGTCAGTGCATAATCCCATACATGTTATTTTACAGTGCTCATGTCTTTATTCTAAAATGTAGAGAATAGCATAAATAAACCTTTCTATTCGTAGGTGTGTCCAACCTTTTGACTGGTACTGTATGTATGTATAACTGGCTTGAATACACTGCTAGTTCCCCACAGAATCTGGCTATTCTCACAGTTCATTCCTTCCAGTACACCGTATTTCAGAAATTGATGCCACGTAGGGCACTGTTTATTTTTTTAGTTTACATTTTATTACATTGCAAGGTAAGCGGTGTTAATGGCGACCTACATCAACATAAAAGATCAGAACTAAAACTATTCAGTTAATCTGCTCATTAATCTGCTCTGTTGTGTTTATTCATTATTTTAGTTGTATCATTCCAGTCCGTAATGCGTCATGTATAAAATGGTGAATTAAGGGGGCCGTAGTTAATTTACATTTGTAGTAATCTTTTTTTTTTTCCCCAGTTTCATTTTTTAACCTTGAGAGTTTACATTTTATTACCTTGTAAGATATGGAACCACTGTAGCATACAGGCAAAGGCAAGAGTCCATCGTGAACCAATAAAGCACTACATTGGTCTCAACCGCAAAGCGGTTACAGAAATTTCCAAAACTGCACGCAAAATAATGCACTGCATAACTATAAATGGATCAGGTTCAATTTGACATTCCTGTTGTCAAAATGTTAAACCTTTTGTGCTGACAGTAGATCATAAATTACAAAAATATTTTTTTAAAAGTTTGACGGACCACAATCCTAACAACCTTAACACGTTACTGTTTTTTTTTTACCCCCATCAGAGCAGTACATCTCAAACTACATCCATTTAGCCATATTTTTCTTTTATCTAGTAGGATAAAAATCAGTCATGATTCACCACGTAAAGCATTATTTTTTTGATTTATATTTATACTTGTATATCTTGTCATGGTTTTCTCTGAGATACGTTAGGCTGAAGGCTCCACATGTTGAAGAACAGAGCGACTTGGAGGTTAACATCCAATCAAAGCCCACTGGAGCAGGACTGCATGGGCATAGCTGGGCTACATAGGCGCTGGGCTCATGGTTCATTAGCCGTTGCACCACCGCCAGGCCCAGGCCAAATATAGCGAATTTGAGGCTAGCTTGAGCCAGAGGCTGTGCGACGCACTCCTGATGGGGCCGGCCGCTTACAGATACACATACTGTGCCCCCCCCAAATCTTAAAAATGTTAATTTTATGAAATGAACTGCTGTTAATGCAAAATTTTGAGGCCAACATTCCATTCCTTGGTGTGGACAATCAAAGTGTTGCCAATATCAATAGTTCATTAAACCATACAACTTTCTCAAAATAGCAATCATGCATTTACGAATTATGTTGTGTATAACATTACAGAATGCATCAGTTTTATAGTGTCTGGGTCTGGATTTGCTCTCTATACACATTTGGATATTGTGTAGTGGACACAAATACAGAGAACCAATCTCGCAATGCATTTCAAAAGCTGTAGATCTGTATCTTTTATATTTTATACAAAAAACACACACAGGGCTATATTCAAGTGCTAGCTAAATTTAAAGAGAGATTTTTATTAAGATATTGCAAGTAGAAACTGATAAGGCAATGTTGCTCACACTATTTCAATTACTGATATCCAACTTAGACAACAGAAGGGGGGGGAAATGTGTACATTTACAGGAAGTACGACAGAAAGCAAGTTATCTGTCAGCTCGAACGGTTTGCTGGAGTACACACTCGGCTCACCTGCGAAGTGTCATCGCTCTCTTTGCCGGACCCTGCTTACACTACTGCACTACACTACTACGCTGGCGTTAGTATGCATGGAGTTAGCTACAGTACCATGGCTAAGCTAACAACGCACAACCATGCGTATGGCAACCTACCGAAATGCTTCACCTGGCTCGGGGCTCATATTCATTATGTATTATTTTCAGGGACCGGATGACTCAAGAGGTCCCTCGTGCTAAACTCTGATAAGGCACAGACGTCGGGACCTGCTCGAATGCCACACATTCCCAGACTGTGCTGAATGTAACTGGATTCTAGGTTACTGCTGATCCTGCAATAAGATGGCTGCTTCATAATTGACCTGCACCTCTGAAGCTCGCTTTAGAAAATTTTAGCAGTCTTTATTTTAGTTGCAGAATGCGGCAATTCAGGGGGGAAAGAAAAGTGCTTTTTCTATCTGAGGCAGCAAAGCTAGTCCCATGTGTTACATCGTTGAGATTTGATTAGTCCAACAGCCTGCCTGTTCAATGCCTGTTCAGAGTTTCCCTGCAAAGATTCGTACCATAACTAAAAATAAAAAAACATCAATCACCTACCTGCCTATACTGATGTTGTACAGAGAATATAATAAAATATTTAGGTGGTGTGTTGGCTCAGTGGGTAACCCTGTGACCTCCAAGGTGTTGGGTTCGATTCCAGGCCTTGGCAGTAAATGTGCGGAGTTTGCA